CGGCTTCCACTGAAGAGTATCGTTTTTACAGAATACAGGAAAGAAGGAGGGGGGGATTTATGTCAGCTTTCTGGGATGTTTTCTAAATGTGATGTTGTGGTTCTGTCTAATAATCTTGGTGTCAGTATTTCAGTCAGAACATCATCACTATTATTCAGTACAGTACATGAACTACACTGATCCGATCACTCTGGGCGTAGCCACATTTCAGAAATGTCGATACTCTTCAGTGGAAGCCGGACTCCTTGGTCTTGTGTACCACAACAGTGTTTTCTTTCAGGTGAGATTTGATGTAGTAACTTGCTCATATACACAATATACTGTACAGTATGTACCTTGTGTTTAGAGTGCATGAAGAAAATACAACTTCAGCCTCTTGTGGCTACACTGAGTATCACAACAACAAACATTTGGAGAATGAAAAAAATTCCCCTGCCAATACACGTTTTCATCTGTTTTCACAGAATACATAAATGAAGGATCTTTGAAATGATGATCTGGCAAAAACGTTGTCATAAACACAGGAGAGAAATCAAAACTTTTGACTTTTGACTCTCAGGGCTTCCGTTGCAATCTGATGGTGACTCTAGACCTCTGGAGCCCTCTATGTGGCCATAACAGCTCAGACCACGGTGACTGTTAACCACACCAAATGACAGGAGATGGAGAACCTAGTAGTTGTGTTGAGTCAGCATATTTTTTTCTTATATCTGGGACACTTAAAGTAGTGTAACTGCAGCACATACACTGAGTGATTCCATATCCATATAAGTATATAAACAAAAACACCCACATCTCTACTTGTACATTACACGTGACCAACAGCTGTTTCCTGTCAAGCCCTCGAATAATCCTCGAATATTGTTGCTCCCTTTGTTTCTGCTTCTCCATAATTGTGTTGACTACATCACACCAACAGACTCAATGTGCTGCTTTTGTTTCCAAGAAGCCTGTCGGTAGAAACACGTCCACTTGAAATCGTTGTCTTTCCTATAAATCTCATACTGGCATCATTAGTGTTCAGCGATGGAATCAACTCTGTCATTCTTCCGATAATTGGACTCAAGATATGAAACGCAAATCACTCTGTTGTGCTTTTATTGTATTTTGAGCCAACATGTATCTCCGTTCCCGTGCACGCCCACATGAACACTCCATGTCGTGCACTTAACAGCCAATTATCTGTTCCTGTGACCTCGGCACACAACACCCACCAAAAACTATTACGCTGCAAATGAATGAGTCATGGAGAATGTTAGGAAATTAAAAAAGCTAGAACGTGAACATATTAACACAGTTTTTCCCTAGTTAGAATAGAATGAGGCTCATACATGGAGATCATAATGCAATTATTAATCTAGCAATTTTAAGTTGATTGACGTTGTCCCAGTGGGTATCAGAAGCACTTGCTTTTATTGCTGTTGGTTTCTACAGAAAGGAAGATGCGGGTGTTGCTATGGATGCAACTTTGCTGCGGAGACATGAACGGAGGCAGAGTGTCTCCTGGGACAGGACGATGCTTTGACTCGGAGATGTTCACCTAAATTAGCCCCGTCTCTCTCTCTCGCTTGCTTCCCCCCCCCAGTAGTTGTACACCGCAGTGTAAACTGCAGTCAGAACATTGTGTTCTGTGTTTCTCTGGGAAGGATGTATTTTGAAATACATATTAAGAATAGGATTCTGAAGTGTAACTATGAATCGGTGAGATTAGACTGTTTTATTCAATTGAATAGACGGAAACACACACACTCTCACAAACTCACAATCACACACACAAAGGAAACACTACGCACTGTCCACCAGGGATAACTATAATCACAGATATAAGAAAAACGACACAATACTTAATGTGCCTTCAAAATAAAACAATTTTCTCTGCGGAAGTGGAAGCTTCAGTTTCAAGGTCCTGGTTTTGTTTGTGCTGGCTCACTGCTACATTGTCATGGATTTCTGGGACACCCATACATATTATTGTAATAGATTATTAAACTAATTTCAGCAGGATACTATATGCTGAAATTATGGTTCCAAGCCTTCAGCATATAAATAGCGTCGTTTGATGGTTTTAAAGTGCACTAGTGCAGTGCCCGTCGTTGACATGTGGTGTTGTAACGTGCAGCTTTCTAGAGAACTACTAAAAGTGGCTACGAAAAGCGCCCAAAAACATCTGTAGATTTATTTTTACATGTGTTTACATGTGAAAAATATTGAATTCATTGAACCATGCTGTCACTTACGAAAGGCCCCAAAAGTACGGAACAAATATGCAACTCACATTGTAGTACTACATTTACCTGACAGAGATATGTTACTGGTTACGTTGCAGATTCAGATTTGGCTCACAAAATAACCATTAAAATATGATGCATAATTATTCATTAAACTATCCAGCATCATATAATTGAAAGCTCCGACTTGAAGACGTCAACCCTATACCTAAACATTCGTGGAACGTTAGAAAAAACAACCTCCCGCGAACACACACGTGTTGATAGTTTTAGTAATACTTATTCTAATACTTTTACTAAAGAACATTTTGAGTACCTCGTCTATCACGGCCAATACCACCTTCTCCATTGTGAGAGACGGTGAAAAGCGAAGCAAGGGAGCGTTTCGCCTCGGGCTCGGGGTTACTCGCGGTCACAGACATAACAGAACAACATAACAAGACATTCTTTGTTTTATAGTTGGATTTAGTCATGTTATTGTGGGCCTCCACTATGGCCGCCAGGGGGCCCGTGTCATACATGAACCCCCCTCCCTCCCTCTCTCTCTCTCTCTCTCTCTCTCTCTCTCTCTCTCTCTCTCTCTC